GCATTAGTGTGAGCATGAGGACGTATCCCTTTCTCTTCCAGATGCCCTGAGCTCCGACCAGGACGCTGCTCACCGCCACCTGGGCACCAGCAGCGGCTCCGTCGCAGCCGCCATCCTGGTCCCGTTCTTCGCTCTCATCTTGTCAGGGTTTGCGTTTTACCTCTACAAACACAGGTACGCCCTTGTGTGCCCCCGTGGTGGTGTGACGCGTGCCCGTCCTCACACTCACATGCACATGAATTTGCTGTCGCTATGCAATATTCTCCCTGACATCGAGAATGCTCACTGGCAATGATTTTTGGGTTTTTTAATCCTCACCCAAGGATATGTTTATTGACAGAGAGAGAGAGAGAGAGAGAGAGAGACATCGGCGTGAGAGAAACATCCATCGGTTGCCTCCCATAGGCACCTGCTCAGGAATGAAACACGCACCCAGGTGTGTGCCTGTCCAGGAGCCCACCCCCCCCTCCCGGCAGCGGAACCACCGGCCAGGCCATCGCGTGGAGGCGGCGTTGCTTGCTTTCTTTGCCACGCTGTCCCAGGGAGACGCCTCTGAGGATACACTAGGAGAAAGATGGGATTAGGAGTAACATGCTATGTCTCGTGTCCATTGAGAGGATAGTATTTCTACCTTCACGCGCCACGACCAGCTGGCGGGACCGTGGGGCGGCATCCCCCTCTGGGGAAGCCCGAACCAGGGTCTCCATGGCTGCTTTCAACGGTGATTTATAAACTGTTGATTTATTTCTTTTTTTAACAAATACAAACTGAGTCATTACTCTGTACTAAGAAATATCGCACGTTCCAGATCTTGAAAAAAGTGTTCCAACTACATTTTAACAGGAAAATGTCAAAACTTGGAGAAAAAAGCTTAAAATGAAATTGCCCCTTTCCTTGGGGTTGACATGGATGTCACAAAAAAGCAAAAATAAATGTTGAAGGACATATAAATCCATGTACATTTTGTCTCCAGGCAGAACGTGTTACGTGGAGGAACTTGGCGTGGCCAGCGCACTGTAAAATATGATTTGGGATAGTAGCACTCCTTACAGATAGTAACAAAAATCGCGATCCCATGAAATAACATTAAGGCCTGTTACATGTGTCTCATATTTATTTATAGATTGTAGATTCTTCTACCTCACCCTGGCTTTAAAAAAAAAAAAAACCACACTGGTGTGAGGGGGTGGTTTTATTTATTTATTTTAGTGACTCGGGAAGCAGCTTTTAAAATGTGTCCTTATGCTCTTTTGAAAAATCAAATAGTCAGAATGAAACTTCAAAATTAAATTGTAATGGCTGCTCGCAAGGCCGTCCCCACTCTGTCCTGGTTGGCAGTGTCCTTGCTTTAAAGCTGTGCCCGGGAGAGGAGTCTCAGCGGTTGTCCCAGAATTAAAGAGGGCGCCTCTGTGCTCACTGATTATTTCCCGGAGAAGCGAGTCCCTGCACACAAGCCGGACGAGCCCGCTCTCAGGTTTCTGCTGGGGACCAGCTGAAAACTTGGTGAAGGTAGAAACCTATCCCACCCGCTTCTCCAAACCTCCCCTCACCGCAGGGACGTCTCTCCTCTTCATGTGCATTTCACAAGCACCTCCCCCGCGAGATTCTCCAAGAAACCCACCTCCTGCAGACAAGGTGCAGCCAGGAAGCGTCTGTCATTCCTGCACCATCACCTGTGCCCTTCGCAGCCTCCAGGGGCCCCCGGGAGCCATGCAGTTCCGGAACGTTCTCTCTCCCACCTCACCACCTGTCAGCGGGCCTGCCAGGCGCCCCCTCTCCCCCCATGTGAGGGCGTGTCTGACCCCGGGAAGGAGGTCTCAGCACGTCTCCTCCTGTGTTCCTTCTCTCCTCCTTTAAAAGGAGAAGCTCACGGAACTATACGTACTCACACGTGAATGAAACAGCCCTTCTGATTGTATCTTAACTCACACGGCCGGGCACTCGGTCATTGTTCTTGAAACCAGGGCCC